TATGTTCGTTTCATTTATTATAAATTAAATGATATTTCGGTAAAATGAGATTTTCGGAATTATGTCTTGTTAGTTAATTGGGATGTCAGTATTATGACTTTGGTGAACTGGCATTTCAGTAAAATTGATTTCGGGAAGTTAACCCGTAACCATAATAATTGCGTCAATAGTTGCGTCAATCGTCAATAGTTGCGTCAATCGTCAAAGTTGCGCCTGACGAAACCATTGACGAAACCATTTGCGTCATGCCAAAATCGTTGCGTCGCCCATCATTAGTTTGAGGGCGAAAGAGCTATACCGCAATATATTAATTCGGTCTCTTTTACTTTAAATCGATAGACACATCACATGATCTGCAATTTTTTTGGGTGGCGATTTAACCCAGCTTACCCACAAAAAATTTGTTCACCCCTGTAATTTTGCAATCAAAATTCAAGATTTGAAAAAAAAACAGGAACGATACGAATATTTAATTTACTAATAAATTGCTAATAAATATTAATTTATTCGGACTCAGATAAATAATTGGATAACGTTTTATGATATATTTTTTTTTCTTAGAAATTCTTATACCCACTCTAACTCAATTTCAAAATTAATTCGAACAAATAAAAATATAAAATATACAATAAATAAATATAAGATGCCAGTAAATATTCATTTCGGCGGATATGAGGAATTTGAGGAATTTGAACTTGTCTTTAAATACTTCTAGATTATTTATAAATCGGCTGAGTTGTAGTATCTGTTTTTAAACATAATAAATAATTTTATATTTGTCAATAAATCTATATGAATAAAACCTAAACATACGTGATATAGTAAACTTAGCATATATAGTAAGATTTTAAATTTATCTAGCTTTATTACTCATTAACCGAATTAATTGGACAAAATGATTAGGATACAAACGTAGCTATCGGTGTTTACTAACTTAGATAACTTGGCAAATCAATACAGCTAGTGTTCACTAACTTAGGTAACTTAAACACAACAATATTTTATGTTCAATACGAATAACGATAAGGTAAGCTAAATATGGTTACTAAAATTTATATGCTATTTAAAATTGAATATCTAACTTTACAATTAGAGTTGTAAATATTCACAAACTCGAACATAAATGTAATAACAAATTTTATACTCAGCAAACTAATGCATTAATATGCATAATGATGAAATAGCAAGTTTTACCGCCTAAATTTTGAATAAGCTTTGAACAATAATCAAACTTGGCAAAAAAAAAAATTATTTTAATATTATATAACGTAGGGTTTAAATAAAAAAGGGCTTCGTTGAGTTTAGTTAGGAGTTGTGTAGATATATTGTCGTTTAATCTTAAAAAAATTTAGATTAACTGTTGAATAGAAAGTTTTTTTTTAAAAAAAATAAAAAACTAAATAAAAGATGACACACGTATCTCGATAACTATATAATAAAATTCGATAGAAAAAGAATATCCATAGAATTTAAATAAAAAATTTTCTTATCGAGTTTAATTGGGTGGTTAACGTAATTTAGGACATCTCAGAAGTCGTAATAAAATTTTTAAACCTTTGAGATATGATGTATAACTAAACTTATAAAAAAATTTTTATTTTAATTCTATACAACTATAAAATTAAAAAAAAATTTAGGAGTTTAGTTGGGTGGTCGTTGAGATATTATCATTCAAAGCCTCAAAAAATTTAGAACATTGAAACTTTGAGAGACATTATTTCGACAATGATACAATAATTAAAGTTAATAAAAAGTTTTTTTTATCTAAATTCAATATTAAAATAAATTTTATTACATTTATTTAGGTGGTTCTCGGGATATTATCACTCAAAGTTTGGTTAATTATACAAATCTATAATCTGTTTATTTTGTTATATGATGATTGATATATTTTGTACTTTTGTTATGAGATTATGTAATAAATTGTGCAAAATATCTCACCAATATCTATTGTGTCGGATAACATCAGAATTAGGCATACGATTAATAACGGGAGATTTTTTTATCAGACCCATGTGCTTTGTGATAGAAAAAAAATGTCCTGTTAACTTCTAATAATTATGACAATCAAAGGTTCGTTGAATGATAAACCATTAAAATCAACAACCGAAAGAAAGAAAAAAAAAGAGAAAAAAAACAAACGCTGCAACAAATAGAGTACAGCTCCAATGACAGTGATAATGCCAGCAACCAATTAAGAACGATATTAAGTTGGCGACAACAAAGCAAGGCTGACAACAGCAATTAAAAATATTTATCATTATAATAAATATTTGCTAAAGGCGTTATACACGTGTATAAAAAATTGCTAAATTTGAGTATTATCTTTAAGAAACGTCAGTGCAAGCGATGGGCGCATGCTAGTAAAGTATAACGATAAACTTGATTAGAATTATAACTATTCTGTTCCCGGTTTGTGCTATTACTATAATGATAATGTCGTGCAGATGTCTAAAACTGACGGTTGTACAATTTGAATTCCGGTTTACAAAACAAACAATAACGGCAACTATCGATATGTCTAACATTATTGTACGTACCTACGTACTTATTCATCCATGCCCACGAGCTTTGTTAGGTTCGGGGGCTTGTTCTTAATATAAATGGCAAACACATGCCTTTCGGGCCAATGTTTTTAAATTTTTAGTATATCTTTTCAAAAATTAATCGTCAACTTATGCATAAGTCACATGACTATAATTCCATATGGTTACACTAATATACCTTCAAACCTTTTTATGGTAAAACTATAATGAAAGATTACGATTATGAGAGATTATGTAGGCGAATTGAAAAAAAAGAATGTTTGTAACAAGTTTTTTGAATATAATTTTGTGAAAGCGGGAGTTAAAAAATTTTTTTTTTACATGCACGTATTAATGATAGAAAATCCTCGCTTGTAAGCGAAATTATTAACTGTCATAGCCTATTAAAACATACCATAAAATTGAAAATGTGAGAATGCAAACATTTAAATTGATACTAATAAAAATAATAAGAAAGCGATTTTTAAATATAATCGCAATGATTCTTCTCATAACTACTGTTTTTACAATCATGGCCTTAACCTCTAATTTTCACGAATTCAATATTTGAATTCCATTAAGGTTTATTAGGTAAATCCGTAACCAGGCCATTCGGTGTAACGTTGTGAAATTAAATTTAATTGTTTATACGTACCAAAATATTAAATTTTCTTTTTTCAATATTTAATATATATATTGAACCAATCGTTTATTAATAAGAATTTTCCGTTTAGCTGTTAGGATAGTTAATCCATTAAACATGCGGTATTCCAATAAAATTTACACAGCATAACCAGTACTAATAAAATTGTTTTCTTTTTAGATATTTCAGATAAGAATAAAAAAATTTCAAATTATGAAATTCAGCGATATTCTCTAATTATTTTAGATTATTTACATAGTTACTTTGATATATTGTATTTAAAGAAAGATATTGTGTATGTCACAACATAATTATGAGTGATATCATTTATGTTTGATAGTATTCATGTGTTTACGAGAACGTATACTGAGCATCACAAAGTTATAGGCAGTTATCTTTTCGCCAATGACAACAATATAAATCACATAATGGATTAAAAAGTCATATTTTTATTGTTAAAATCTTCTTTGCATTTTATTAATCTCAATTTGCGTAATTATCTTAAGTATTACATTCTTTACTGCTAAATTATTGCATAAAATACTTTCATATACTGTACGTGATCATGTAAATTTTAACAGCACAGCGTCAATCATTACATGAAATAAAAATTTAATAATTTATGATTTTCTATGCAGTTTGCATATAATTAAAAATACGAATTGACGAATTTATGTTCTCGAATCTCCTTGGCACAGCTGCATTTCTGTAAAACTTAAAATAATGATTTTCCTCGAAAAAGTCTAATGTTTACATATCTGCTAATATATTCATCAATATACGCATATGTCATAATAACCGTTAAGAAATCGCTATTTAAAAAAAAAAAAGATATATGTTGTCTTTTTTACTATACTTGTAAAACAATTATAAATCGATTATATTTATTTATAAAATATTTTTATTAAGACCATGTTACTATTATATATTGGTTTATTTGATAATATCAATAAAATCTTGTGCTCATAATTTTTTTTTTGCCTAAATATAAAATAAACCAATAAGTAAACGTTATACAATAAATTTTGTAATTTACATATTAAGTAATTTTTAATGTCACGTTTGATCTTATATGATTATCTAGAATAAAAACAAAATCTTGCCACATGCGTACGAACGAACGTCCGTAACGTTCCAACTGTATATACGTATTTGAAATTCTGGGGAAACAAGTTTTGTTGATCTCTTGTACATTTCTGCAATTGGTAATACATGTATATGTATGCTAGGTTATATACCTGCATCGTGGAAAATATTTCATGCTACAGTTACAATGGTAAATATCTAATTTTATGGTAAACTTATACCGAAATATGTGAAACAATAAATGTTATTACCAATTTGTCAATGTAGTATTATCTTCCCTTTGTATTTTCAAAGATATTCAAAAATCAGTCTAACGCTGAATGTTACATCTAATTGGTATTATTATATATTGTTTATGTTACACTATTAGATACTGTCGTCAAAAAGTGTAAATATAATTAATTTTGTGCTAAATTATTATATGGAAGGATAGGAAAATACTATTCCTTGTTAAATATTTGCTCTTGCACGTTCATAATTTTTTTGTGATGAAAACAATAATATAATTAGTGTTATCTTAAAAATTACACATTTATTAATTCGTTCTTTTATTTATTATTGTATATGTTATATATAATTTTCTATGTTACTAATATTTTCAAAATCTTTATAAAACCCTCCAATTTCACTTCGTCATTCTTCGTCCTGTCCCTAAACCTCCAAAAATAACATACTATCATTAATTCCGATACAATCCTTTCTTCACCTCAATGAAGATGAGGTTACTATCATTTTGGGTGGCTTTAATGCTACTATTAGCATTAGTCGCCTATACCTCAGCGAATGATGCAGAAAGTACAGGTTCAAAACCTCCCCCGAAACCTGACCCCGCTTCACCTGGTAATGGAAAGGTCGGTGGCGGCCCAATTCAAGCTGCTGCCGCCATAACTACTCAACCTGCTGCCGCCGGAACTACTCGTAGGAGTGCTCCTACTACTCATGCCGCTACTACTGCTAAAGCTGCTGCTACTACTCATAAGGCTGCTACTACCGCTAAAGCTGCTACTACTCATAAGGCTGCTACTACCGCCAAAGCTGCTACTACCGCTAAAGCTGC